GCGTGAACCTACATCCAAGATCTATCCTGAGTGGTTATCTAAGCAGGAATACAAATCAAACAATAGCTCAGTGACATAGTACATAATCAACTGGGGTCAAATCGAAACACATGAATCGACGTTAAAAATCCCCCACAAAATGAAAAGAAATGTCTTACAAAAGGTTTGGAGGAAGAATTAATGCACAGCGTATGCTCAAGCAACTCGCTATTTCACAACAAACCTCTCAGTACAAAAGATTTGTATTCAGTCCCTTATTCTTCTATGGTTTTAGTACCTCGCTGAACTCTAAAAATTATGAGATTCAATTATTATCTTGCTCTTCATCTTATTTCCCTCATTTATAAAGTAGACAGTTAACTTTTGTTTGCATAGACGGTTTATTCTTATTATCTCCAAAACTATTATATTACTCCAATCCTCGATAATTTTTGATTACTTCAATAAACGATAAAGGTCCTGAGCTTTGTTCCCACGTACGAAGTCATGAATAAGCCGCATCGAAAAGTTCTGTACGAAGACGAGGCGGCCGTCCAGCACTACCAGGTTTTCAATGGTGGTTTAACATTGATAGGTTCAACAATCTCCATACCCCTTTACTGATAATGATATAATACTATTATGTTCGGTAAGATTGTGCATCCGAGGCATATTTGTTTTTTCAATAGATCAACGGGCTTCTTTTTTTTGTTCCAGATGCATCTATTTATAAGAGTCAGAGTATTTTTCTTCAACCATTTTAATTTCCATCTGAATCCTCTTGGTCGTGAATTCTGTAAAGAACTTGTTATCCACTTATTCACAGACAATAAAATTCCTTATGTCAAACGCCATTGAATCCAGCGTTGGATGCAAGATCAAATGTCCTGAGTCCGACTGCCGCCTGTGGGGTCTTGAATACTCATTGCCCATGGAAAAATCATCCCGTAATTCCAGGTTTTAAATAATGGTCTAACACTGATCCATTCATTATTTCAATGAAGTCTGTCATTTTAACTAAGAATTTGCTAAAATATCATATTCTGAGCATGTAAACTAATCAGTTGAAGCGTTATTTCAGTTAAAATAAATGAACATTAACCTAGAAAGTTCGGTCACACGTGCAAACTGTTGACTTATATAACGGTAAGCAGACAATCAGTATCTATATATAAACCATTGGATGCTTTCTAATTTTCAGGGGCTGCTTGACTAACATTCAGTGTTATTAACTATGAACAGCCAGAAAAATAATGCTGAGATTAAGTAATGCGTATTAGTTGAAGATGGTTGATTTAGTCGATAAGTGTATAAGGAATCGTCACCGCTTGGAGTGGTTAGGACACCATCACCACCTAATTCGACAGTCGATATTAACTGGTATAAGAGAAAATTGAAAGAAATGGTGTCTCTTTTTTACCGACACCTAAAATGAGAATAAAATCGGAGATCATTCTATGAAGTTATGGATGGTTGGTCTAAACCAAGCTGATAAATGCAGGATAATTGGATAAAATGTACATGATAACCAAGATCAGTAGTTGGAGATGTCATTTGACAGTGGTGAGAATTATACATCAAAAGTCCGGGCACATTCACTCAAGAACTAGATTCTCAACATTTTGTCGTTTGTTTATATACTAGCACTGTCACCAAATGATTTGATACTTCTAACTATTTTGTTAACTTTCGTTGTGGTAATGTAGTGAATGAGAACACAGGTGGGGCAACCGAATTGTTATTAACGAAATTACAGAGTTACTCAGTAAAATTGGAAAACCATATCGTAAATTGTTCATTTGCAAAATAACAGTTCATCATATCGAACTGGACTGTTCCTGTTGCAAAACATCAATCCATTATCACTATTCATGCGTTTCATACCAATTCCATTGTTTTCTAACTCTTCCTTTCTTGATCTCTCCTCATCTTCCGCTGCCAGACATTACGTTGACACTCACGTCATATACTACTTATAAGTAGCTCACACCACAGTAATATATAGCATAACAACGACCAACGATAAATAAGATGTTGTTAATAACAATAACAATTTTAACCAAACTACAATCATAACGAGAGTCTGAATGTTTCTAGAAAATAAAGCATTTCTTTACAAGTCTATCAAGTAGGCTTTCCATTTTGACTTGATACAATGATTATTGATCAATCGATTTGTTTTGAATCGATCAGCCTCATCAAGTCATTCAAATTATCACGTGATTGATAAATTTTAATACAAATCAATGTCCCTTAAATTAATCAAAAGAAATAAAAGACAATTAGCAGGTGACTTGAGAAGATCATCAGCATCATCATCATATCATTAGGAATAATTTTTTCTTGATATGAACAACCGTTTAGGTATGTGAATCAAAATTTACTGTTTATCATGATTTGATTTGATGGAGAAACGAAACCATCTGACTGGATGTTATGAAATTAATGTGTTAAGTTTGAATATGCCGTAAAATAAATGGAAAAAAAATTAGACAAGAGAACATCATTGTTTTTTAAGCAGTATTATGTAGAACAGCGTTCAAAAAACAACCGAGAGTACTGAACAGCTGATTTGCCTTATGGTAGTAAACTTTTAGTAGTATGTATCCAAAATTTGACCAGAGATTAAACTTTGACACTATAGGTCAACCAGCGAATGATCAATTATCATAAGCTTTTTTTCCTCAATTTAGCGATACACATTTCGAATTTATTTCAAAGCACGACAATCAACTAAGGCAATTAACAATAACCAGTTAAATTTTGATATGCATTACAGGGGTTGTGAAGATTGTTAAGTTACACATCTTTGAAACCATGAATCGATCGATGCTAGACCACCACTAGAAACCTGGAAGCACTGGACAGCCGTTTCGTCCTGGTACAGGACTCCTCAGCAGTGCGCATCCACGACTCCTGCACCCCGCAGTGAAGTTCAACCTGTTCAGGTGTAGGCAGTGTCTACCGAAGATTGTGTATGAGGTTGCGCAACTCCGTGAATTTGATCAAGTTAGACATTAACACCGTTTAAAACCGGCTCAGTGGTCTAACGGCTAGGGCGTTCGCGCACAATACCGAAGGTCCCTGGTTCGAATCCTGCGGGGTCCAGGAGTCGTGGATGCTGAGGAGTCCCAGACCAGGACGAAACGGCTGTCCAATGCTTCCAGGTTTCTAGTGGTGGTCTAACATCGGTCGACTCATGGTTTCAGAAATGTGTAAATTTCGATTTTGAAACAAGTCATGAGTAACTTGACCACTTTAATTTAATTGAAGGGGTTTTTTGCGGTGCATAGTTCAATTTGTTGGTTTTATTTGTGAAACTTATGTAGAGTGAAATTATATAATTATTGTCATATTAGATGATGACTGAAGGATATAATCAATAAACTGACAGTGGAAAATACATGCAACTTGTTACAAACCAAATTGTTCGATGATTAAGCTAAAATTTAGAAAATTCCGGATTTGATCTATGGTGTGATCATCAGAGCTCATTGCTACACAGTTTCATATCAATACAAAGTAATCGTACATTGCTGCTTGTTTTTCAGAGTCATCTCTCGTTTATATGACGAATGAAATATATAAATTAGACTGGTTTCCATAAAATCACATCTATTAAAATATTTCATTGAAATCATGAACTAATCAAAGTTATTTTGACTATTGAAACACTTGTAAGTACTCTCATGGATGTATTACAGTTAGGGTTGTACACTATTAGATCCCGGCTCATTGATCTCCTGTTCGCGTGCTGGACTGGATTCAGTAAATAAAACAGAAAATTTTGTGGAATTAACTACATACAGGGTTACTGTGCCAATCTGCATGACGTAGCAATGCAAACTTGAATAACAATTAATTAATCAGATCTAATCTGATCTCATATCAGTGGTTCCTATTGGTATAGATGTAGTTCTCGATGTTGATTCACTGTTGAATGAAGTGAATTACAAATTTAATTTCATTAACAATTATTACTGCCCCTTTTTTAAACATACAGAATTGTGTTCTTTAATCGCAGTAGATAAAGTTTCCTTGTACGGATCATTACTGAAACGATTAATATCGGTCGTGCTCAATTCTTCTATTTACAGATTAATCTATGTATCGATAAATACGCGTATCCTTTTATTATGACCTTGACATATTTCATCATATTTACTAATTCAAGTATACATTTCCCTTGAATTTACTAACAGAATTCCCCAATATAGGGTTTGACAAATAAATATTTAATCATTGATGGAATTGTCCAATTATATAAGAGAAGCTGAATTTTCATCACACTTTATTGCAAAACATCATGAACAGACAATGAAATAAATAGATAGGATAGGTAGACAGAAACACATACACACACATACACATACGCACCTACATGCAATCATATACAGCTTCACTTATGGAATGGAATAATTTATTGATCTTCTTTCAAATTTACTACATTCTGATTGGATGTTGTTGATTTTATTCTTGGTTAGAGAAAATATTGAAGCTACTATACTATCCATGACGTTAGTTGACACTGAACATCAGTATGATAGATATCGTTCTTTTTCAAGAGATTTTTTTCTTTCACTCTGCACACACACACACACAACAAAATAACACATAATAGTGATAATATTTCCATTCTGGATATCAATCATACTAATAATTCCTCATAAAATAAAATGTAATCATTTTGATTATATGTGTCTGTCTGTATACTTATATACTCTTTAAAGGTTTTATTTTCTGTGTGTGTTATTGTATGTATGTGTATTTGTGAGTGTAGAAAAAAGAAAAGATTTAGCATTGATTTGTTTAACAAATTGTCATTAAAGCAACATGAATGACTAAATTAACATCAATATCATATTAATAAACGTGTCATACATTGTGTATGTGATTTATGTTAATTTTCCTTAATTGGAAAACAAATAACAATTACTGTTTAATCATATTACTACTACTACTACTAACAACAATTACAACAACTACTACTACTACTACTTCAACTACTACTACACAGAATTATGTTCACTCACAACAATTACCGATTTCATGGAAATAATATATTCTTCATTCAATTATTGATTATTTCTTCTATATTATTATTATTCATTGATGCTAAAACTATTCATAATTCTACAACTTCACATCCTCCAACAATTGCTGTAATCAAATGGGAATTTCATGAATTCTCTACACATATTACTGTCATGTTATTTCTTATTATATTAGTTTGTTTAAAATTAGCTTATCATTATAGTCCATATATATCAGCTTATGTACCAGAATCATTATTATTAATTATTATTGGAATTACATTTGGTAGTATTGTTCTGTATGATATTGAAAAACAATCAAATAATACCATTGAAAATACTGTATGGAAATTTACACCACAATTATTTGCTTACTACTTGTTACCACCAATTATATTAGAATCAGCTTATAATTTATATAATAGAACATTTTCTGAATATTTAGGTATTGTTTTATTATTTTCTGTATTAGGTACAATATGTAATTTTCTACTGATTGGTTTTTCAATGTATTTCTTATATAAATTAAGTTTATTCGGTGAACCAACATTACAATATGATGTAAAAGGTTATCTTCTATTTAGTTCAATTATTGTTGCTGTAGATCCTGTAGCTGTATTAGCTATATTTCAAGATATTGGTGTAGAATTAAGTTTATATTTTATAGTATTTGGTGAATCATTATTTAATGATGCAATTACTATTGTTTTAAATGATATAATGATTGCATTTACTAGTAGTGAACAAGTGACTAGTTTACAAATATTTATTGGTTTTATATCATTTTTTACTGTAAGTTTTGGTGGATTATTAATTGGTGTGATATTTGGTGTATTCACTTGTTTAATTACACGTATTCATAGTCATTTAGCAGTATTTACAATATTATTACTGGCCTATTTCTCTTATATTATGGCTGATTGTGTTGGTTGGTCTGGGATTATATCAATGATTGCATGTGGTCTGGTACAAGCAGCTTATGCATTTCATAATATTGGTGAAAAATATGTTAAAAGTGTACATTTAATTACAAGAATGTTAGCTGAAGTTAGTGAAGCTGTAATATTCTTATTTTTAGGTATACAAGTTATTTCTTATAAATTAGAATGGCATACTGGTTTTATTCTATGGGGACTTGTATTATGTTTAATATCTAGAGCTATAGTTGTATTTAGTATTACAGCTATTGTAAATTATGTAAATATTGATGAGACAAAAATTACATTGGCACAACAAATTGTTTTAATCTATGGTGGATTACGTGGTGCTGTTGCATTTGCTTTAGCTGTACTTATACCAGAAGATTTATTTCCAGTCAATGGATTATATCATAAAAATGTTATAGTCACTGCAACATTATTTATTATTCTATTCACTGTTGGATTTATGGGTTTAACAACAAAACCACTTGTGAAATTATTAAAAATACGTAAAAAAGATAAAGAAACCTTGAGTTTATTTCATATACTTAATAAAAGTATCATTGATCAAACATTAACTGGTATTGAAACATTGACTGGATCAAAAGGACGTAATGCAATACGTGAATTTTGTATGCGTATTGATGAAAAGTATATAAGACGTATATTACAACGTAATCCAGAACGTTATGATGAGAAAATTTTAAAAGTTTATGAACATATCGCTTTAAAACTATTATATGCATCAACACGTCCAAAAGAAACGGAAAATATTTTAAAAAATATTCCAGAATCATTAAAATTGAATCAAATTAATCAATATTCAAGAAATAACATTCCAACTATGCTGAATGGAACAACAACACAAGATTGGATTGTACGAAATAATCTCTCTGTGATACAAATTTATGATGATGATGATGCTGATGAGTATGTTCATGGTAATCATCACAATGATGATGCTGATGATGTTGATGTTGATGATGAGGGTACTCTTGGTGAAGGTTCTTTTATATCAGCAGGACAAATGATTGCAATGAATGCACATAAAAAACAATATCGAAAAATGTCCATAAATCCTAATGATTTGTTATTTGATCAATTAACACGTAATAATCATTTACCTGTCTATTCATCCACCATATCAAAACATAATTGTCCATTAGATTTTAATGAAGCATTTAGTGATTTATTACATAGTCGTTTTGGAACTATGAAACATCAACAAACACCAGATAATAATAATAATAATAATAATGTTGAAATGAATACGAATCATATCGATCAACGAACACAACACATAAACAACAATCATCATGATAAAACTAACTCTACTAGACAAAGTTTAGAAGATGACAATAAACATGATTCTCATAGTGAACAACATAATCACCCACAACATTCTTCTCATTCATCAGAACCAGAAATTATAGACTATCGAAAAAGACATGATCTTACAAAGAATATTAAATAAGGAGGGGGGGGGCATTGTATAATTAATTTAATGTAAACACATTGATTGCGATGAGTAAGATTATAGAATAATTGAGATTGTTATTATTTAATAATTGTTAACTGATACTACTACTATATATATTTATTTTGTAAATTATGTACAGAATATTTTTGAAAAAAAGATTTTATTTTATTTTATTGCAAAAATAAATGTGTACACAAATTATTAGATCGATTATATAAATAAAATGAGTTAAAATATGTAAATAAATTTTCAATTTAAAGAAATGAAATTTACTGTAACATGTAAGTGTAATGATGTTGATAATAATAATAATAATAATGTGGTGTGAGCTACTTGTAAGTAGTATATAACGTGAGTTTCAATGTAATGTCTGGCAGCAGAAGATGGGGGAAGATCAAGAAAGGAAGAGTTAGAAAACAATGGAATTTGTATGAAACGCATCATGAATAGTGACTATGGATTGATGTTTTGCAACAGGAACAGTCCAGTTCGATATGATGGATTGATATTTTGCAAATGAACTATTTACGATATGGTTTTCCAATTTTACTGAGTAACTCTGTAATTTCGCTAAATACAATTCGGTTGTCCCACCTGTGTTCTCATTCAATACAACAATAATAATAATAATATGATTGAACAGCAAAGAACTATGTGATCTTAATAATCAAGTTCACTAATGATTTGTAAGCTTCAACATAGTCTACTATTAAACCATTGAATTGTATATTGATCGATAATACGCCAAATTGACCAATAATAAACAACTTTAAATAATTTCTTTCTTTAAGGAAATATAACAGTACAATAATTCAATTACCTACTAATTATTTAATAAAAAAAAGGAGTAAATACATAATTCATGGTATGATAATTTTGAAAGTTCAACCTTTCTTAAATGTATTCTGATAGAATAGTAATTTTTTTTTTGCACATAAATTGTTCATCACTTTAATTTTATTACTAGGAAATGTATATGGATCGTTCAATTGTCAATTCATTGAACTTAAAAGTTTTTTTTGGTCGTTTTAAAATAAACACGATTATGTTGTTTGTAGTAGTAGAGCTTTACTTGAACATTATTCGTAAGCTGCTTTACTATTTTGTATTAAATTCTACTCTTAATCAATCATAATTAAGGCAGAACATCATACATACGTGTATCAGAGTAGTAGTAGTGTAGTGAAGGAGAACACAGGTGAGGGGAACCAAATTGTATTTAACGAACATTACAGAGTTACTCAGTAAAATTGGAAAACCATATCGTAAATCGTTAATTTGCAAATCTTCAATCCATCATCAATCCATTCATTGTCTTACAGTTCACTATTCATGCGTTTCATACAAATTCCATTGTGTTCCCACTCTTCCTTTCTTGATATTCCCCCATCTTCTGCTGTCAGACATTACGCTGACACTCGCGTCATATACTACTTATTAGTAGCGCGCACCGCACTCGTCCCCCCTTTTAATAAGCTGTCGTCGTAGTCTTTCTGATTGCCGTGCCGTTGTCATCTTTGGTGGTTTTCGTGACTCATACACTTGATAACCTTGAAATCATCTCTGCAGTCGACTAGCATTTACGCGCTTCTGCTTGTCTTCTCTCCGGATCGTGTAAACCGCGCCGCGTCTCTACGTGATAACGTACGGTCCTTCACACTTTGGGATCAGCAAAATCAATGGTAACTCTTTCTCCCAATCTCCTCCTTTAGATGCTAACCATTCCTTTACCGTCCGGCTGTTTCTCTCTATAAGCCCGTTTATCTGCGGATGATACGGTATAGTTCGTATCCTCTTGATGCCAAACTGCTTTAGACGGGCTTTAAACTCGTCACTTTCAAAACAGAGACCCTGGTCAGTTAATATCACCTTCCGTATTCCGTGACACGCTACAATATGCTGGATTACCACTTCGGTCATTGTTCTTGTCCGCTAGTCTGGAATGGGTACGGCATCTATCCAACGTGTAGCGTTTACTAGTTCCCGCCGCCGGGACACGGCGGCAGGCCCACTCCCGATAAATTGTGACGCCAACAACTGTGCCCCTGACTCCCCATCCATACTCGGCAGAGCACGGCGCAGCAACATCGTGAGCTCCACAGCCAGCACCAGTGGGTCACAATCGACAGACAACCTCGTCAACCGGAACCCCTGCGGCGCCTCCTCCTTGTCCACTGGGCCGACGAACTCCGTCACTATTCGCTCCGTGACCGTCTCCCACGCCGTCTTCCCGGCGGCACCGTCCAATAATAGTAATAGATGTTTGAGTAGTAATAAGAATAAAGCTAACTAACAATGGAACATAACTGATACGGTTAAATGCAAAGAAGGAAGTAGGACTGTAAATAAAGATTTATATATTCACTGACTACAATTATAGGACTATAAAAAAGGCATTGAAAAATCATTAAAAAAATGCCGTTTAAATATCTGGTTGATAGTCAGATTCTAATGCACCGAAATAATAATAAAAAGACTTACTAAACAGTGATTGCACTGGTCATTATTCAGTGACCATTGAATTCCAGATATATCCGTTTCCTACGAAAGGTTAATTCCGAGACGGTTAGGTCAGTGATAACATTTCTGACTGTGAAGCTGTATGACACAGAATTGAATCTGTTGGGGATGTTAGATCCTCAAAACTCGCTTGATAAATGCCTTATTTTTGTTTTCATGTTTGCCAGCATGGGCTGATCAGTTGACCTTGGGATTTCAATTCCCACCAGGAAAATCCATGCTTATGATTGGTTGCTGTGTATTTTAGTGTGATATTTTCGTAACTGTCTGAAGGACGTTTCTATGATGTATAAATAAACGCGAGCTGTATGCTTGATTGTATTGTGTGATTGCTGGGTGTTTGTAGAATATACTTTCTACGATTACAAAGCCTTTTATCTTCAGCTTGGGATTCAAGGTAGCCTATCTGGACGCTGGTAATTGTCTCGTTCGCGTTTATCGACTAAGGTAAACTCATAATAGCCTCAAGCATACGTAGTGACGAACATATCAGAATCCATCAGTGGGCATTGGTCACCGTACGATTATAGGTACACCTTGTTGATGAGCGCCAAATAACCTGGAAGCCTACACCTAAGATCTGTTGACTACCTTCGACCACTAAACATTCACTAATCAATAATTTAATACACGCTTATAATTTACACAATTAATAAATTAATTAAGAAATCTAGTTAAATTCCTAAGTTGCATTTTTGTTTCTTTGTGACAGAAATAACTTTAAAATTGAGTAATCATTAAATAGCAGACAATAAGTGAGTAGATCTACGTTGTTGTCAATAGATTTTATTTCAACTTTCAAACATCACAAATCATGCAAAGGTCAACTACATAATCTGATAAGTCTGCTGACAGAGCTTAGACCAACAATCCATAATTTCAAACAAAGATCGATATTTCACTATAAAAGTCAATAAATTAATTAAGAATTTCAAAAATCATCTATTTTTTCTGTATTCAATTTGGTTTAACCATCTGAGTAGTTGAGATATACTAATTTTTTTATAATTGTACAAATTGTTTAATATTTAACACAGAATTATACACTTACATACCTACATACCTACCTACCTACCTACATACATACATACATGCATCCAATATATTGTGAGTAGTACATTTTTTACAATTGAATTATTTGACCTATGTAGTCCAAGATATTATCAACTGACAAAATAAGAAAAAATTAAGATAAACAAAATTGTATCATTTTCCGATAGTAATTTTTAACAAAACTTGTAAATTTTTCCTAAAGTTTTAACAAAACGGATTAAATTTCAAAATAAATATTTTCTTCTTATTATTATTATGTTTACAGAAAACTAAATTATTATTATTATTATTATTATTATTATTATTATTATTATTATAGATTAGTATGAGTTAAGAGTGAAAATGTACTTTTATGTTAAAACAGATCTAATGATGTTCATAATCATCATCTTAATCATAATCATAAACAGAGAACATGAATCTAAAAAAATAATGCATGACTCATTAAAAAATGAAATTAAGTAAATGAGTCAGAAAAAAAAGCAACTGTATTATTGATAACAGTTGGATGCAGTAAATGAAAGAAATCAATGTGAATTCACAATATTTTTTTTGACTGAGTAAGCGGTAAGATTTTACACAAAGTTACTTAATTGTTAATTTAATTAGTAATATTTTATTAAATTGTTGATATTTTCGATCACAGGTGTCTTCGAAGCATTGCTCGTATATCCTGGGACAACCGAGTGAGCAACGCTGTTATTAGGAATCGGGTGCTAGGTAAGAATGGCAGATCCATAGATGAGGTAATGAAACTTCATCAGTTGAGGTGGTTGGGACATGTGTTGAGTATGCGCAACCACCGACTGCCTCGTCGAGCTTTGTTTTGTAGTGTAGAAGTAGGCTGGAAGAAAGTTAGGGGTGGCCGAGCCAAAATATGGCAGAAATCCATGAAATCATTGACGAGTGGACTTAGCCATGTCGGTAATTGTCGACTACCTGGTTGGGGTCCGCGAGATGATAATAATCGATGGTTGGAGACCTTGAATGACATGGCTCAAAACCGTTTGCAATGGCGCCGGTGCATTTATTCTTTGTGTTCTCTCAAATCCTAATCTTCTGGGTTCTTCAACAACTCTAGTTTTGACTTTCTAAACTTTTCTCATTGAATCATACTTCTTGAATAATATCTTCTGATCCTAACCTCTCCGATTACTCCTAATACATTTACTACCTCTTCTACTATTGGATTTGAATTGACAATTACATCTCTGTATGCTGATGTGGTATGGCGACATGAACTGATGTACTTACGTACGAAGTTCTACGTTGCATCTGACTGACTGAAATTGTTGATATTTTGACTGAAATTTGACTTAGTCTTGGTCGGTCGGTATATGTGTGTGGATTGCTTTGACATTTTAGTTAATATTAGAATAAATGTAGTTACATCCAGCTGTGACCAATCCTGAACAGGAAAAAAATATGAATATGAAAATTTCACTGCCAAATAGATTCCATCTATTATTCTATGCTAACATGTATTATAATGTCTGTGTTTAGGTAATCCGCATAGGATACATATATACCAACCAAGACTCAATGAATTTCAGTCAAAAATATCAACGACAGGATGATTAAATGTAATTCACATAATACCTGTTGTTGAAATGAGTGACTATATTGACTTAGTAACTAACTGGATAATGCAATGG